AGGGAGAACTTCTCGGTTTCCTTCGGATGAAAGAATGAGCAATAAGTCAGAGGAGGACTGGTCTATTATTAGTTAAGATATAGGTTCAGCTTTAACAAAATAGACCTCACACAAAACAGAAGTTTGTTTCTCTTTCACAGAGAGATGTGAGCTGGCATGGAGACTCTGCTCTGAGAATTCTTCAAGGACAGGCTCCTTGCCTTTTGTTGATCTGTGTCACTGGATGCTGCCCTTGTTCACATGATCCAGGATGAAAATGGAAAGAGCAAGTAGGAATAAGGGAGAATCGCTGCAGTAATATCATCTTCAGATCATGGGCGGCTTATATTCTGTACATGTCACATGTTTATTGTGATGACTAGGCATTCTGCTTCAGGTTCCTACTACTGACAGACACCAAAGGATAGAGCACCTGGAACATCTCAGGGGCCTATGGTGGGAGAATGGTATGCTAGATAGGCTTGTCTCAGCAGTTAAATGACCTTGTCCTTCACTGAATGACCAGAACTGACCACAGGACCATATCTAACTTCAAGGAGGAGGGAGCCAAACTTAAAGTGGAGTGTAAATAGAGGGCTGTGGTGACTACCACAGAGTGACCTGGAAGTTGCACAAATCCATTTTTCTTGAATGGACTTGTCAGATTCCATACATATGAAAAGTCCTTGGCAAAAAGGAAGCTGGTAAATGTAGTCTTCATTTTTGGTATATTAATTATGATTTCTAGCACTTCTTTGTGATTTTTTTCTTATTGTGTTTGCCTGTCTTGTTACACTGCTCACATCTTTCTGCTAGAGGTGAGTAGAGAACTTTCCTACTAGAGGGCATAGCATATTAATTGCAGTTATTTTACTTACTCTAATACTCTCCAAATCTCTGGCATACTGTTTGCCTCTGTGGATTGATTTGTATCTTCAGACTTTGTATCTTCAGGCTGTACTTCTTCTTGCCATGTAATATGCTTTGGAATTTTTTCCTGAAGGGAAGATGCTATGTAATTGTACTAGCATCTGAAGCAAATAAGTTTTTATTGTGAAGTTTTATGTCCAACTTGGTAGAATTTATTCTCTCTTTACCGTTTACACTAGCTATGGGTGCTTCGGATAACAATTTCCTTTTGGTCTCCTAGGCTGCTGCCCCCAGGAACTCCTTAAATAGCATCTTAATCTTATGGCTCTTTCAGTTGTGGTTTCCTGAATGGATATTGGGGGAAGAGCAGTCTTGACATATTCAATTCCATGGAACCATAGATGAGAATGATGTGAGATGAACTGCCTTGACGGGCTTACAGAACCATGCGTTATAGAAGTCAGCATGTGGAATCTGCTAAATACAGAGAATCCCAAATGCTACTTTAAAAGTGTGTCAGAAGCCCCACCACTGCAGTATTGGCACCAAGGAAAACTAGAATACTATACTGGTGGGTGTCACTCTCAGTCCTGTAGTGAGCATGTGACCTTGGACTGTGATCTTCACAAGTGATTTTCATCTGTTTTTCCTTGCCTAGGTGCGATGGAAATGCTAGAAGAGAAACTCAGACTGGATATTTTCCATTTTCCTTAAAGGGCTGATGTTTGCCTTAAGGGCTGATGAAGAGAAAGATTCCAGCATATTTAAAAATATTGACTTTCTTTCTCTTCCTATTGGAAGTACAAAGAGCAATTCCTCTAATCTTTAGCACAAATTTGGAGATATTCTTGGAGCTATAACTTAGGAATGTATGGGGGTTCTCCCTGTCATTGGAACACCATCATCTTCTGCTCCTAGCAGTTAATCACTTACAGTTTAAATTTTCCTGCCCATTCCTGAATTTAGCTCCTCCTCTGCACTTTATTCTCTTAGGTTTTAAGCCATTGATTTGTCCTGTGACCTCAGTTCTCTGAAAGATCTAAGAAGAGTTGCTGATTTCTCACTTGTGCAATGTTTTTATGTTTTCTTTTTATGAGCACTTCAAGTCATTCATACATCAGTGAGGAAACTCATTGTAAATACTGTTCATCATTACAATAATGTCACCTGGGACACGTGGTCTTTATTTGGCCATGTGTCCAGCTAACAAGTGGGGTTACATTACTATGTAATAATGAGAGGAAAATGCATATTGGGGTAATAGCGTCTTGACATATCCCCATTGCTGGGGCCACAGATGAGAAGAATGCACAGCTTAGGTATCTGTGAAGGGCCTGCAGAGCTGTCCATTAGCGAACATTTGGAACAGTTAAGCACAGAGAACCCCAATGCTAGTTTATAACCATGTCAGTTAGGAATGTTAGAACTTTCTGTCCTTTATCTCTCTTCCTTTTTTACCTGCAGCCCTGGAGAGCTGCTGGCAGTCTAATGAGGGGGCAAGTGGAGTAGAGATTCGGTGATACAAAAGCTAAGCTTTCCTACATTCTACTACACACAGGGGAGGCAGTAATTGGATGAAGTAGACTTTTAAGATTAGAATGGAAAAAAGTTTTTATAACTAGACTGTAGTCAGAGGAGAGTGGGGTGACTGGAACTGTCACTGAAGCTGTGACAGAGACCGTCAGTTGACTACCTACTCTCCATCACCTTCTCTTTAACAGCCTTGCATTTTCACCGGTGCCTTTCACTTTCAGCCTTGCAAAATACCTTATACTGCTTTCTTTGAAGGTATGTCCCCACAGTTGTGTTTCTGGGTAATAAGGCTGTAAGAAGAAGTACTGAGTTGTATTTCTGATACATAGCTTTAGGTACTCCCTTCCATCCCTTTTCCTTTATCCCATTCTTTGGTAGCTGGATCTCTTGCAACCATTTTGCACCATGAGGAAGAGGATGGTGGTGTTACACTTTATGTTGGGAGAACTATGAGGTAGAAAAATCAGAGTTCTTAAAGGAAGTAAAGCAACAATACAAGCCTTGGTCATTTCAATCAAAGGGTAGTTTTATAGGAGACAAAGATAGCTTCTATTTTATGTAATCCACTCACTTTGAGGGTTTCTTCTTCTCATCGATGTAAATATAACTGACATAAAGCCTGTCTAAAGTCACACATGTGTGGTGGGGAAGGGGCTGTTCCATAGTAGCAGGTTTGTGGGTCTACCGTGGTGAGAAAGAACAAACGTATTTCTTTAGGTTTGGCTCATTCAATGAATCAGTTTGGAAATAGATAGCTCACAACTGAGCAAGTTTTTCTATATAAACCAGAAAAGAAGAGAGGTGGGCTTGTTAGCCTAGGTCCCTGACAAAAATAGACATCAGCATGAGATTAAATATGCAATGAGTTTACTAGAAAAATGCTGTGAGGGAGAAAATAATATGGGAGCCATTGAAGCTGGGACAGTCATTTGAATGCTGGGCAACTGTGACCCCACAGGAAGAAAGAGGCAGAGAACACTGGACAGAAATGCTCTGCAATGTCATTCAGTCAAGGGAAGGTTGGGAAAAGCCATCAGGGAGCCAAAATTGACCCTTGACGAATTCTGTGTCTCCCAGAGGCAGGTCTGGTTTAATATCACACTCCGTACCATATCACACTCAGTCACTGAGCGAGGGTAACTCATGCACAGCTTTGCCTCAGTACAAACTCTGCTGAGAACCTCAGAAAGCAGCAGCTGGAGTCTTTGACAATTATAGCCCCTAAGAAGGTGACCAGTGGTGTGCCTTTTGGGGCCACAGAGAAGCTAAGAAAATCAGCTACCAATTGTTGGCACCTAGATATGCACATAGGACCATTGTACAAAGCACAGGCTTGTGGGAAAGTGGCTGAACAGGATCAAGAGCTGCTACCAGAGCTTTCTGCAAGAGGTTAAGAAGCACATGGATAATGATGGCTCAGAAGCTAACTTGAAGCAGATACAAAAAGACCAGGATATGCATGAAAACACAGACTATGAGGTCAAACAATACCAACAGCAGCTGCTCTGCAGTTTCAGTTTCACAAAAGCCACACAGACCATCATGGATTTGCTCATATTTTAAGTGCAAAGGAGTTTCATAGTGAGAAAGGTAAGATCTTCATGAAAGTCAGCCAGGAAGTTTCTGAAAGTGATGCATGCATAACTGTGATAATGTATATTATGACATTAGGACATTCCTAGACAAATACTTTAATAGTTATACATTTATTTTTAGGGTTCACAGATAATGATATATTTCCAACTACAAGATGATTTTAAGTTTTTGTCAATTTGAATTTAAACTAAAATGTTAACTCTTTTTTTGTGTGTGTCTTTTTCTTTTTTATCGGTACTGGGGATCAAACTCACGACTGCCTGCTTGCAAGGCAGGTGCTCATGCCACTGAGCTAAATCCCCAGCCCCTAAAATGTTAACTCTTTATAGCAGTTATAGGTTCATGGTAAAATTGTGCTGACAGTAGAGATTTCTCACATGCTCCTTACTCCATACAAGCATAATCTCCCTTATCATTTAATGTTTTAATTTTAGATTTTATTTCAATTAAAATTATTAAATGCATGCAGATGACTATGAATACACCAATAATTTGCAAAGCGAGGAGATGATCTCCCAGGCTCACATAGCCAACCAGTAACAGAGGCAAGAGAATCAACACCTTTGACTCTGACCTTTCGTTGCTTCTCTAAGAATGACTGGTTCCCCAAACAGGAGAGCTGGTTACAGTGTGACCTGTTCTTTAGAGAAGCAGGGCCACTGTGAATTACTAGCAGAGGTCTAAAGAGTGTCCCAAAGGCCAATTCCATGTGTGTATTTAGGTGAATCAAATTTGAAGGGAAAAAGGGTGACTCAATATCCAGAAGAAGACCAGGACAGTTGTGAAAGGTTAATTCATGCAAACTGTGATAAGGGGTAGACTACCCTTCCCAGGAAGTGGGTTAGAGGCTGGAGGGGTCCAGAAGGAGGTACGGGTCTTGGAGAAGTTAGAAGAGGAGAAAATGGTGGGTGGAATCTTGTCTATGCATTTTTCTGCAGGGTATCCTGACCTTGTTAAAGTAACTCAAGAAAGGAGCTATTTCAGGGACATGACCACTTCTAACAGAGACACTCACACTGACAGAGTTTTAAAGGCTGTATTTTGGTTTTTATTTTAAACTTTTTGACAAGGTAGAAAAAATTTAACTACATTTTAAGTATGACCCTTGCCAGTGGGTGGAAGTCATACTTTCTTGAGTTTGCTATGTAAATAGTAAGCATGCAATAAATGCACAGAGAATAAGCAATTGAATGTTTGATGTCATTCCTGATCAGCACGTGAAAATAAACACTTTGGGAAACTGCCTCATTGTCATATAATTTTTTTCCTCCTTTTGTTTCTGAGCCTCTGCTATGGTGCCTGTAAGAAACAGAATGATGTAATTCAGGACATGCCTGCTTTGAATGCCTTAGGAATCAGCAGAGAACACAATGTAGATGAGACCAGGAGGGCAAGGACAAAAAAGTAAACAGTTCAGCGTAGTCAGCTATGCTCATTATTTGGGGCTGCTAAATAATTTACAGCCTTGTCCTTTCATAGAATGCAGTTCCCTGCTGACTCCTACTGTTTCAAGGAATCCAGGGAACGCTCATGGCGTGAGCCAAGGTCTTTCATAAGTTCTGCTTGAATAAGAGGCTTCATCCTCAGATTGACTGTAGACAGACTGTTGGGCAAATGGGGCAAGAATATCACTGGTTCTCAGATCCAACCCCACACAGCCCTTCCGATCAGAAGATGGTGTGTTCGATCAGGAAATGGTGTGTATCTTAAGAACTCGGAGCTATCTCGTATCAAAATTATTCTGATATGAATCATGGAACCTACACCACAGAACAGAACTTTATCTTTACTAAAAGACATCTGGCCCATGGTAGATATTTAAAGAGCATTTGTTAATCAGATAAATTTGACTTAATACAATTGTTATAAATTTATTTTTATGTTTGGATTCAATTATAATAACCATTCAATATTCTTCTATTGTTCATCAGTTTCTTTGAAGTTAAGGCCTAGACACACGTCAATAAATTTTAAAAATAATATATTCCAAGGACTAAGGAAGAAATACTGAATGAGAGTTCATGATTCTTGACTTCCATGTTGACATTGTCAAGAATAATTATAGTTACCATTTACTGCATGTTTACAATCTGCTAGACACATTACTTGTAGTGTCTTATTTAATCCTCACCATGAAGCTGTATAGAAGAGACAGCAGGGGTGGCTACCTCTCCACCATGATTGAGTATTTTGTTTTCTCCTACCACTAGACCTCATTTCTCACTCTTCTTGCTTGATGGAGTGAGTACACAACTAGTTGTCACCTATGGGAGGGCACACAAGTGATGTAAGTCACTAGAGGTCAGTGTGGATTACAGCCAGGTACTTTCCTCACACATTCTTCTCTCTCCATCTTCCGTCATCTGAAAGCAGAGACGGGTCCTATGAAACAGCAGACCCGTGAGATGAAAGTTATCAATATTAGCTCCATTTCACAGAAGAGGAACACCGAGTGTACAGAGATCAGGCACTTTTCACAGGGTTAGACAAGGGTAAATAGTGGCATTTGATTAAGTAGTTAATTTAGCATATCTTCATGATTACCAAGTGCACAGACAGACATGTGAACTCAAGGCTCTGCAGCTTTAAGTCTTCTTTAAGTCTTAATTTCCTCTGCCACCTTGGAGATGGTAAGACTGTTGTGTTTTTTTTTTTTTTTTTTTTTTTTGTCGGTTTGGGGGATTGAACTCACGACCGCCTGTTTGCAAGGCAGGTGCTTATGCCGCGAGCTAAATCCCCAGCCCTAGTAAGACTGTTTTAAAGAAAAAAGAAATCCAGTAACCAGTAACAGTTTCTGGAGGGGATATGGTGGGGTACGGAGGAGACTGTCTTATGGGCACATTATGGAGACTGTCTAATTTGATTTCCATCCAATTTGGTGTGTGACTAGAATCATAAAAGAGTTAAGTTCGTGAGCTGAGATATTACTCCATTTAATAATTTCCCCAAGCCTCAATTTTCCTATCTGTAAAATTGGGGTAATATCTACTCCAAATAGCTTCTTAGATAGTTCTGAGGTAAAATGCAATTATACCCCTGAATGTGATCTGTGAGTGCTAAACAACCAAACACATCAGTCCTTACTGTAGTAATACTTTTGTGACTCACTTGCATTTGTAACTGAAAGAAAATTTCAGCACCTAAAAGAAAAATGAAAAAATAATAACACTTCATGCTCAAAAGCAGGAAGAAATGATGGGGCTGGATAGCAGTCTTACCTAACTGTGGTCAATTTCTTGTGTCTCTTTTGAGGGTGAATAGTTCTGCGCCCAGAATACCATGGATAAGGTGGGTGGGTGCTGCTCTGTGGATTCACTACAAAGAGCAGGAAAGATGAGAAAGAGTCACTGGTTAATTAATTTGCTTGTTTGTTAAGTCAGCATTTTGAGAACTTGGTAACTGTGGTCCTTGATAACAGATATGGAAGAAGATGTAGTCTTGACCTTGCTTTTGGGTTGTTCTCAATATAGTAGGAAAAATAGGCATCTATGTAAAATAACAGGGGCACTGATGGATTTGAATTCAGAGTACTCTGCAAAAACAAAGGAGTTATACTTACACCTTTGGGGGTCAGGAACAGCTTTCTTGATGCTCTGAAGGCTTGTCAGATAGAATAGCCGGGAAAGGTGGGGGAAGAAGGCTCATCTGTGAGGAAAGTTAAATAGGTGACCAATAGCATAGGGCTGTGTGATATCATAAGCAGCATAGTGCTCCTGGGGTGAAATTGTGTGTGTGTGTGTGTGTGTGTGCACGTGTGTGCATGCTGGGTTGAGCAGAGAGATGGTGGGATGATGGGAACACGTGAATGAAATCTTATCCAGAATGGGAACACTGATGGGGCTGGGTGGTGGCTGAGGAGGGAGTCGGAGTTGTTGGCATTTATGTTGGGAGAAATTCTGTGATGCTAACTTCCATGAGAAATAATGAGAATGGGAATTATTACAGTGCCGGTGATCAGGACTGAATTAAAAAGGCCAGGAAGATCAAGAAGTATCTTGGGTGGAAAATCAGTAGCCCTGAAAGAGGGAAGAATTAGAAGAGGAGTCTAGGTTTCCAGTTTCAATGACAGGATCGAAGGTTTTGCTACCAACTAAACCAGAGAATGCTGGGATTCTGATTTAGGGGAAAGATTGTAGTTGGGACTTGTATTAAGTGCCAAGTGAGACTCTCTGCCACCCAGGAGAGGCAGCAGGCAAGCCAGGGCCAGTGAGTTCCTATGGGCATGGCTCGTGTCTTCATCCTCATCACTTAGAGAATTTCCTGGCCCATGGTGGGGGGACTGGACACCATCAGGGGCAGATCAGTGGGGGCCGACAGAGGATTCCCATTGTTTGTTCTCTGTGGCAGCTGCTTCTCACAAAATTCTGCTCTTAATTCCAGGCATTATCTTCTGGGTCCTCTTGAATGAAAAGTTAAATGTGAGATTCTGAATCCTATAGTAGGGAAGAACTCTAGGCAAGGAGGATCCTTACCCTGCCTCTATTTAGGAGGGTCAGTTCACCTGTTAGGCCTTCTCTTTCTTATCTTTAAACACATAAATTTGCAATCATTGACTTTTCAATTCCTTTCAAGTCTTGAGTTTCTGTGAACTATCTTGACTGTGTTTCTGCTTCGTGATGCTAACATTTAACTCTGAAATTAGTGTAATATAAAGCAATAGTCTATCTTAAATTAAAAAAAAAAAAAGTAAAGTGGCAAAATCTTCTAAATTACTGAGTTCCTGGAAACTGGTCATAAATACAGAGGGTTCATGTGCTACCTGGATTTCCATTAACCTGGAGCTTGATGAACCAGCCCTGCACGTGGTGTAACCTCTGAGTGGGGCTCTCTGTTTATGCCCTCGGTGGGTTGATGATTGATATTCGGCATGGTTGCCTTGAAGCAATGTGGGAATCCAAAGTCATTAAAGGCAAAGGAAATTATGTCCAGCCCAGTTTCAAAGGTGAACTGTATTGCTTTCACATGATTCAAAAGTCATTAATATGTGTGTGGTATATATCAGGGCTCTCTGACCTTTTTGTGAAGAGAATTTTTTAATTTCCGTGAGACAGATTCTTTGATTAACCAGAACTTCCTTTTTTCTCCAAATATATTAGATAAGAGGTTTCATATTTACCTACAAGATCCATTACTATATGCAGCTGAATTTTATGCTTATTTGATGTTAAATGTAAGGAAAGATGAATCTGATACTTAAGAAACAGTGGGAAGACTTTTGTATTAAAAGTCAGGAGATCCTGGTTTATGTCATAGCTCTGTCACTAATGAATCTCAGTGTAATTTTGGACAAACCATTTTGCTTTCTGAGCCTCAGTTTCACCATGTATAAATTAGAGTATTACAGTAGATAATCATTAAGGTATTCGCAGTTCTAAATAGTATCTATCCTCCAAATGCTTCAGTTACATGCAACATTATCTATATACCACTGCATTTTCTACACAGGCTCTTTTCTAATTAACATAATGTTAGCCCCATTTTGTAGTTGTGAAAACAGAGACTTGGAGAGACTAAACATCTTATTAGTGGCAGTGCAGGAGTGTGGAAGCCAGTAGTTGGTATTCCAGCCCAGAGCTCTCATCTACCAATGGTCTCTTGTGCCCTCATGAGCCCAGAGCAGGGTGGGGGATGTAATGGTGGACTGGAGAATTGGAGAATGAGAGGCTTTGCCTGCCATTGTCTCTTGAGAGGACAATGGATGTTTCAGTGTCTTTTTCCATTTAAAAAATGCACTGCATTGCTTTTTCATGGCTTTTGATTGTTGCTTTCAATCTTTCCTGGATCAGAGCATGTCTCTTGGCAGTTGCAATACTGTAATATGAGGATCAGATCTGCCTGCCTGTCTCAATAACTGGTAATTTATCTCTGGGTATTTTTAGGTGCCTCAGACAAAGGTAAAATAAATATAATGAAAGAATGAATTTCTTTCTGACACTTGGTGCCATTTATATAAAAGAATGAAAATCTCCTTTAAAAATATTGTTTTTAAACAGCTTTTCTCCGAATGTGTTCTCTGGATGTAACTCAGCTGTACAAAACTTAGTGGCCAAATGAATTGAGGAGGTATTTCTTAATACAGTGAAACTTCTCAGAGCCTTTACAACAATAACAATAAGTTCATTGTGCATTAAAAGGGGGAGAAAGTATATGCTCTATTCTCCAACCATAGTTAATTGTAGAATTTCCTCCCATCCTGTCACCCAGAATGCTACAAGGCTAGCTTTCTAATGAACCAGACATAGTGCAAATAGTGTTGTAAAATACTGTATGCCAAAAGGCAGGGTAACTGCCACTTGTGTGCCAAGTACATTAACAAATGCCATTTTACTTTTTTCTACTCTGGCGGGGGGTGATCTTTTGATCCATATTTACGTGATAAAGAACTGGAGCCTAAGATTAGTTAAGAAATACAGTTTGTAGGGGCATAGCCTAGATTCAAACTTATGTCTATTGTTCAGTCCCACTTGTACACTGCATTTCACAGCACGTCTTACAGTGATGTAATTAGAGTCCAAGACTGGCTATGGACTCATTGTCCTCTACTTCAAGATCACTATGACCCCACTGAAACCTATGCAGTTCCAATTTTAGGCAATATGAGATCTTTCCCATGTGTTGCCCTTTCTCTTCCACTCTTGAGATTTCTGCAATAATTTCCTTGATCTTCTAGGAAGAGGTTTCTTTCTGCACTGTGAATAAAAACTTGCCAACTGAGGAGAGCCTGACTCAGTGGCAGGCATAAAAGGAAACTGGTATTGATGCCCACATTTGGATGCATTTGCATGCCATCTGCAATACATAGACTGTTTTGTTTATGCCATTCGTTTTGCAACAATCAGAGGTATAGTCTGGAAACAATGAGGATGCTGGAGTCCAGAGCCCTCTGTGTCAATTCCAGCCCCAGCACCTAATTCCTGTGAAGACGTGCACATGTTACTTTTGTTGCAGATCCTGTGTTCTCATTTATCTTGTGAGGTAGTTGGAGGATTACATTAGACAATGCATGCTTGATTGCTGACATATGGTTTGTGTTCAGGGGATGACAATATTTGCTATTATTATTGAAAACTTCTTTTATATCTCAGCGTAACAGTTCCTTACTATTCTTGGTAAAATTAAAATAAAAGGAATTTTATGGTTTTAGGCAATTTATTCATAGAGGGAAAAATCATCCTGTGGTCTAATATCTTCTGTATATGGTTTCTTTCCAGCAGAGGTGGGCAGATTATTACTCAGATAGCAGAGGAATAGGAGAAAGAGCACGAGGAGGAAGAGTTGTTTTTGATACCATTCTTTCATGGACTGGGCATAACTGAACTCTTGCATACGTTTAAGTTCTTTGTCTACTACAAAATGTAAAAGAATAAACAATAATCGATTTCCAGGACCAAGACTGAGTTTTCCCAGATAATTTGCTTCCTGTACATTAGACAATAGAAATGGGGAAGTGTATGTGTGTGGCGGGCAGGAGTAGTCACGAATAAGACTCATAGTTTAGTGTATCTGTTGGGGACAGTACCATATCCCTTTACCTTTCAAATTCCTATTGCCTCCTTGTACACTTTCCTCCTGTCTTCCCACCCTTGGAATCTTCTGTTTTCTTTCTGCCTTCTGAATTCCACCTGCTTTTGTGTATTTTCTCCATGTTGCCTGTGTCTGTTTCAGCTGACTATTAAAGGGACTTTCTGTTATTCAGTTATGTATTGACTCTAAAATAACGATAGAATGTATTTAGTCCTTTTGAAAGACAGAGTGTTGTAGCTCCAGTTTTACTATTCAACAAAAATGCCCAAGTCTGTATCTAAAGAGTTAAGTGAAATTAACCTCCATAAAGCAGGCACTCTAGAAACCTAGCATGTACTTTGTCATGGAGTGGTCCCATCACCTCAACCAAAACACCCACAATTAAAACAGCATCAATTAAACTGCATGGTTTCCTAAGTAAGTGATCCACAGAGCAATGGGAGGAAGAGATGATCACTTTTACAATAAAATGTGTAAATGCTGGGATTATTTCAGTGTACCACATTTATTTAAAAAAACAAAGAAGACAGGAGCAATATAAACACAGAGCTATGAGACCTTTCAGGTAGACATTTCAGAAAAGAGAAATCAATAGATATCGTAATAGAACCTCAGGCCCTAGGATGAATTGATGAAAAAATAGCCAATACATTAAGGTGAGGAGGTGTGGGGGAGTACGAATAAGAATTCAGCATCAGTCTCAATTTCTCTTTTTCTCTGAGACCTCACCTAAGATAATTAGAAAAAATGTGGCATGAAAATGCTTGCAGTTCTGAAAAGGGAAGGTAGATCCTGATTTCTATAAAGAAAAGTCAAATAATAATCTAGAACTAAACATGATAAACCATCTCATCAAAACTATGATTTTACAATGGAAAAAGTAAGGAAATACTGTAGTTTTCTCTTTTTAAGGGAGAGCAGAGGGAGAAAATCTTGGTGGAAGAGTTCCTGTCTTTTTTACCTCAAGAGAATAGATGATATTGTGAACATGAAAACAAAAGAAGAGAAGGTGGTCACTACGGGACAAATAATAATAGAGCTCCCAAGTTAAAAAAGGAAATTAGAATTAATAGGAATTTGACCAAATTAACACACATAAAAGCAATACAGCAAATACAAAGATAAAGAAAGTAGGTGTGGCAGCACCTTTATCTGACATGAGGAACCCAAGGTTAAATGCATTGAATGAAATAGTACAGAATCTTGTGTAAATACAATTTATGGATGCAATATATGTATTACATTATATATGATAATTTGTCTGCCAAATATCTGTAAATTTAATGATTTACTTGATCTTAAATTAAGCCTGTAGAGAAAAAGGCCTTGGTCTGGCCCTGGGGATTTAGCTCAGTGGTGTAAGCAACTGCCTGGCAAGTGTGAAGTCTTGAGTTTGCTAGTACAAAAAAACAAAAGGTATAGTCTATCATACTTCAATAAAATTGAAAAAATTAAATTAAAACAAGAGTTTAATCACTTTTGGAAATTAGACAATGCTACTAGATAAAATATAGGACCAAAGGAATTTAAAGGAAAAATCATAACAAAAAAGTCAGTTTGAGAAATACTTAGTACCAAAATCTATGGCACATAGATCATGGTGCAGAGAAAATTTTGGTTGAAAATATTTCTCTTGTGTCATCATCATGAAAAAGGAAAGACAAATTAGTACTCAGTTAAGGAAGTAAAATGACAAAGCTGGGAAAAAGGAATTAATCAAGATGAAACGAATTAAATAAAGATAATGAAATGCTGCAAAGGTTGAATGTTCAAAAGTCTACTAAAAATAGATGCGGTGAGTCTAACTGAGGGAAAAGAAGGGCACAATTAGTAAAGACAAAGTAGATATAAACAAGGCTAGAAGAGAGATTAAAAACCAGCAGAAGCAGGGACAGGCTGTGCCGCTGTGACCCCGGAAGGAGGGGGTCGCTACCTGCAGGAAAGATTGGGGCGGGGGCACGGAGCTCTGCTTCCCCACTGGACTTGCTTTGGCCAGGGCGTCTGCGTTGTGTGATCCACAATCAAGTGTATATTGTCCAAGTCATGCATTAAAAGAGGTCGATTGATAGAGAAATATAAAATCCTTGCCCTCGCGGTTCATTTGGGACACCTCTGAAGCCCTGGAGGTCCCAGGGAGACCGACAGGGGCTTTGTGGCTTCACAGTCCAACTGACCCTCTGCTCAGCTGACCCTGCTTTTGTTTCTTTCAGGTGTAATTCTTGAGCACAATCCTCAACAAACCTATTTCGACTGAAAATTTAAAAAGTATAGGCAAATTTCCTATGAAAAAATATATTACTGGAAGGGGATGCTTATTGTTTCTACATCAGCTTTGATGAAGAAATATATATATGGAAAAACAGCTCCCATTTTAAGCTCCTAGCTTGATAAGTTTTGACAACCATGTACATGCGTGTAACAATCAACATACAGAATATTTTATTACCCCCCAAAGGCCCTTGTGTTTGTTTCAAGCTACACCTCACCTTTTTAACCTCTGGTCTCAAGTAACCACTCACCTGCCAGCTATCACTAGATTAGATTTTTAGAGTTTGTGACCTTTAGTGTCAAACTGTTCGCATGGCACAATGTTCTTAAAGCTCATCCTTATTCATTCTAGGGCTTTCTTTATCTATTTCCATTCTCTCGAGGATCATAACCCTGCACTACTTATAGAGTGGTTACTGGAAATGGTTGTTTCATGCATCTTGCCTGATTTTATAGATTTTTTGGAAGCATAGTGATAAATCTGATATCTCCTACTATCTATGGCTAGAAAAGTCCTCAGCATTCTTACTTAGTATTTCTTTAAAAGTTACAGAGTACTCTAAGAAAATAAAATAAGTGAATAATTATCTATAATGAAATACAGGTAAAAAGGATATAAAACTGTCTTTGTTTGCCAATGTTTATTTATCTGAAAAAAATATTCTAGGGAAGTCTGGTAATAACATTTTGTATAGAAGGTAACTTGATATTTTACCTGAATACAAGATTCAAACATTACATTAATTGTTTTTCATGGACCAGTAATAAACAACTATATGAAAGTGAAAAATATGCTGCAAGGTCTATACAGTTTTAAGAGTGAGTTCTACCAAAAAGAGAAGAAAAGATCTTATGGTAGACTAAAATATAACTAAGAATTTACTGTGTTTTACTCTCTGTTCTAAGTTCTCTGAGTGCACTAACTTATTTAAAGAAGAAGTCCGGGAAAGTTATTATAATTCCCATTTCATGGATGAGATAACTGAGATTCAGAGACATTAAATAAGTTGCTCAAGTACATCCAACATATGAGTATAGAGCAAATATTTAAAATTATAACAGAACACATGAAAGATATGTCTTACTCTTCACTGAGGTTACTTAACATTAATATTCTTCTGATATGTAAATATGATCATGTCACTTTCCTACTACAAGTTTTTATTCCCTGTCTGCTGCTATTAGTCTGAGATCAAAATGTGATATGTATATGTACCAATTCCCCAAGATGGATGTCATTATAGTACTATGTATCACAAAAACCAGAAAATAGTCAACAGAAAAAATAAACTTAGAAAATATTTCTTCAGTACACCTTCTCTATGCTTCAGTACTATCACTGACCTAACAGGTCCTCATCATCCATTTATTCACCCACCCATTTATCAAACAGATCACCTTGGTGGCACTCTGGAAGCCATGTTTGCGGGGACCATGAGAGAAAGCAGTGAGGCCAGCTACAAGGCAGCTGTGGAGGAGGCAGTGGAGGAGAGAAGTCCAGGAATAGATGGGAGGTGGTATACAGGCGAACATACTTAAAATAAAAGATGGCAGCACTTAGAGTCTAATTGAGGGAATTGTTCCACTCCAGTATTACTCCCAAGATTCTAACTTAGACAACTGGTAAATACGTTCAGGCTTTAACTTTGTTGGAGACAATAGGTTCAATAATTAAAGCTTATTCTAGAGGCTCTTAGCCAAACTGATAGTAATCTATCAGCTAATATTCTTTGGTTTAATACCAAAACTGGCTTTAATGCATCTCAAGCTACATTGATCCGTTATCAGCTTCAGTGCCTATGTTTTGAATATGTAAACTGCATGGGAACATAAAAGATGAGAAATTTACAGGTGTAAAGAACTGATTTGATGGAATAATTTGGATGTAATCTGGATTAGAGCTTTCTGGGCCTCAGATCCACTCTAGATCTCAGCATATCACTTGCCAACTCTACTTATCCTGTGCGAAACTCAGTTTTCCCTTCAGCAAAATCAGAATCCAGGCGGTTCTGTAGCATGGGGTTCTGTGAAGTTTTACTGTGTTGGTGTCAAGTGTAGTTTGTTGGCATTAAGTATATTCCCATTGTGCAGTAACCGTCACTATCCACCCCCATAACTTTTCTCATCATCCCCAACTGCCAGAAAATGTTAATCATCACCTTTCTTCACAGTTTCCAAGAGATTCTTGTAGGTGTACTGCTGTATTTTGATACTTCAAGTGTTAAGAGGTAGCGTGTTCTAAGTTTGTTCTACCACTCAATTTTGATGGCTTTCTGATTGGATTCTACTGCTCTGTTCTTTTTATGGTGCTGGAGACATGGTGTAACTTGATGCTTGATGTGATGTGCGTAACTCATTTACCTTACATGTCATATCTAGGAAGTTTGCTTAACTTCAGGTGTTTTGGTATAGTAGAAACAAAAATTTTATCTAATACTGAACTCTTTTTACTAAACAGATTCACCTGGATATCGCACAAGCTTCTTAAATTTAACTTTGCCAAAACAGAAAAAATTTCTCCTCCTGGATCAACCAACATAGTTGTCTACTAATAATTCTCAGGTGAGTTGTGTAATACTTTTGGGCCTTAGAATCTTGGTCTGTAAGATGAGGATAATAATAATGTGACAAAATAGTCAACACATGTAAAACCAGTAAACACCAGGATCAGCCACACCAGGTTCCAGAATGGTGGTGGCATAGAGAATTTGTTTCTCACAACCAGATCTTTGAATAACCAGTGAAGAAGGAGGGCAGAGGAAGAGGTCTGCAATTTAGTTGTAAATAACTTAGACTAAGCTATAATAAAGATAGTGGACTATGCTCTTCATTGAAGTTTTTATGATATTATGACACTGAATATTCTGCCTTTGTATGAAATTGTTAGCCAGCTTGCAAACCCGTTTAGCAAGAGAGTATGAGCCATCATGAATCTAAAGGGACAATGGATCCCTTCAAACGGTTATGTGTGTTTGCCCCTGTGAAAAGTCACTGAAGCAGATGAAGCTGAATCAAATACAGTTAGTGTTTGCTTTTAAAGCTGTTATATATTCACAATGGAAACAAATAACAAGAGGACATTGTTATGGTTTGTGTTTGGATGACCCCCCAAAGCCTCCTGTAGTCATGGAGGCAACTGCATCTCGGGTTTGTGTTTGATTTATTGTCTAGTGCTGGGATTGGAGGAGTGAGTGCTGCACTCATCCAGAAGCAGGTATCTGGCATGCAATATTAGGGAGGGAAGGAGGCATGCTTTCCCCTTGTGACCTTTTTGCTCTCATTGCTTGCAGCTGCCATGAATGGCTGCCCCTTAGCCACACCACTCTGCCTTGGTGCCAGCTGAATATAGACTGAAAAATCCAAAACTTTAAGATAAACAAACCTTTCCTTTCTTCATTTTGGGCATCTAATATTTTGTCTCAGCAATGAGAGAGAAGTAACCAATACAGAATTTGGTACCAGTGGATTGCTGTCATTGCTGTGATTGTACATGACCATGTGGTTCAAGAGCCTTTGGGAATGGCTTGCAGGAAGAGTTTGGGAAGGTTCAGAGATGTCACCTGAAACAGTAGAGCTGGAATGGCTTAGGTTGTTCTGTATAGGAGATTTTGGTCAGAGCTCAGAAGACCAGAAAACCAGTAAACACCAGGATCAGGAGGTTTCTGCTGGAAAGAAGGACTGCTTTGGTTGTTGGACTCCAGATAATGTGTATTACAGCTTGGCAAAAAGTTTGTCTACCTCCTTCTCCTGTCAAGAGACTGCATGAGACTGAGATTAACGGCAGTGGACTAATTAATCTGACAGAAGAAATTTCAAGGCAGTCAAATGTTGAGGTAGTGGCAAGGCTATTATTGTGGGGTTTTAGCCAGATTTATGTTGGGAATCAAGACTAAAGAATCAAGCAGGATGATTTAAAACATGAGTTTGACCAGAAAGGAAGCTCCAGTAAAGATATGGACTGTAAAGATAGAACTAAGATCTTGATTGCTGAGAAGGAACAGAAGAGTAGAAAAGATGGCCTGGGGACATCATGGGAAGCAGTGTGTCTCTACTCTTTGCAGCCTCAAAACTGCAGAAGTGAAAGTCTTTGCTTGGAGGAGAAAGTCACAGAGCACCATGTTCCAGAATGGCAGGAGAGGCCATGCAAGGTTCCAAAATTGTGGGTTCCAGAATGGTGGTGGCATAGAGAATTTGTTTCTCACAATCAGATTTAGAATGCTTAGTGATCAATCTCTCAATCTCTACATCCAAGAGAGAGAAAAACCTGGCTAGAACTGTAGCTGGCAGCAGACCTTGGAAGTATCCATTTGTCACTGGTTTTTGGTGTGTGTAGAATGCACAAGTTCTGAAGTTAAAATAGCTTCCACCTTCATTTCAGAAGGCCTAGGAAATGAGGCAGTGAGCCCCTGAGAGGGCAATATGTGGAGCTATAAGGGTGAAGCCAAAGGTGAAGTGGAGCCAGGAGTTTGGAAAAGCCAGGAATGTGGATCATCAAAGGAAAGCTGCAAGGATTGAGTAGAGCAGAACTAAGAGAGAAGCTATGGGAATTACCATCACTAGAAGTACTGTCGGGTGGAGTTATATAAGCCTTTTGGAGCTCACAACTTAACCACAAATAGCTTTAGATGTTCCATGTGGAACTACAGGACTTAATGTGTGCCCTCCTAGAGTTTGGACTTGTTTTGGTTCAAATCCTTAGTATTCTCCTGCTTGTACACTTTGGAATGGCTATGTGTATCTTGTGCCATTAAATGTTGGAAGTGTTCAGCTTAGTTTTCATTTGTACAAGGACTTGCAGCTAAGAGTTTGCCTTACACTTTGGAGGATACATGGAACTTGGATTTTTCAGCAATGCTGAAACTGTTAGGACTTTGGCAACTCTTGGGGATGGACTAAATAGTTTTTAAAAATTTTTAAAATTATTTTGAAGGCAGTAAAATACAACAGAATAAGATGGAACAAAGCCAATTGAGACAGTGCAGTAAAATTGGCACAGAACTTCACAGTTAGGTTACCAGGATAACAGCAATAGGTACCATAGTATATCTAGTTATCTTCACAATAGTTGTTCTTTCAATCAGATATAGCAAAATCAAATGAAATACAGAACATTATAGAACTTATCAAAACAGAATATTGAATAGAGCAATGCCATTAATCAGAACAAAGCAAAACAATGATAAAAATATTTGCCTTCAAAGAGATGGTAGAAGGAAATCCCCCTTATTTACTATATTGCATGTGGTCAACCTCCCAAGATTTGCTCAAATCTCTAGCTCCCATTTGCTAATGGGGGTTGGGGAAGGATGAAATATTTGATTCTCAGCCTCTGCACCTGTAGGCTTATGGCTGCATACCAGGGAGGCGAGCTGATAGCTTGGTTTCCCAGCACCCCAAGTTTCAACATGGCGCAGATCTTGGGAGACGCTGGTGGTTCTCCCCCGGGGCAGCCACAACTTGCCCGAGCCACAACCACTACCAGGGAGGCAATCTAGTTGCTTGATTTCCCAGCACCCTAAGTTCTAACATGGCCAGACTAAATGTTTTTTATTTTTCATAAAATACGTACATGAGTCATTGGGGGGCCAGTAGCAGAATGTTATGGTTTGTGTTTGTGTTATGATTTGTGTTCCCCCAAAGCCTTCTGCAGTCATGGAGATGGTTGAATCCAGCGTTTGTGATTGGTTTATTCTCTAGTGCTGGGACTGGCAGTGTGAATGCTGTACACACTCACGGGTGGAGCTGGAATACAATATAAGGGGGAGAAGGAGGTGTGATTTTCCCTTTTGCCCTTTTTGTTCTTATTACTTGTGGTTACCATGAACAGTTGCCCCTGTGCCATGCCATCCGGCCTTGGAGCCAGCTGATTATGGACTGAAACTTCCACAAACTGTGAGCTAAATAAATATTTCCTTCCTTCATTTTGGGTGTTGGGCATTTTGTCCCAGAAATGATAGAAAAGTAACCAAGAGAGATGCAATGATGTATTTTCTACTGTTGCAGGAAAGATAAGAATTATAGACTAGGAAAAACCTACGTGTTGCCAAGATATTATAGTTGTATAATCTATTAAATTAGTGAACTAACCAGATTTCTCCCTACACCTGAAAGGTTTTATTCTTGCAGAAATCATGAGGAACAAGTGTTGAAATAGTTGTAAAATTAGGTGACATGATTAGGTGACCTACTGTTATGGAAAAATTCCAATGTATATTTGATGAGTCCACTTTTCTTCTTTGCAAGCTAAATTAATTATGTCACTGTCTAGAAAAGAGATCACTGGAAAGGACACTAAAGATCTGAGAGCTATCAGAGAGGCATTGTGAACCCTGTAATCACGCCTTGCCAGTACCAATGACCTGTATGGAATTAAGCCATGAGAAAGCTGTCTTCTATCTGCTGCTTGAGTAGAACCAGCTATCATCAACCTATTGTGGTTAAAAAGTTATTGAGACCTTGAGGTTCTACCTTAGACTTGTCTGATTCATTGAGTGGGAATGAATTGTCCTACATTTAGGTCCTTTGTAGCCTATCCTATATAAGCAGGTGAGAGTGATCGGTTATCTGAAGCAGTATCTGCCCATGGTGAAAAGGGGCTATGTATAACTTATCTGAAATCTCCTCTTGGTCTAGAAAACTGGCAAAACAAACCATACAGTAGTTAAATTCTTCAGAGATAAATATTACTAGGTGGACAAGAGAAATATAAAGCTCTAGCCAGGGCCTTGAATAATGAGGTTGACCTTGCCTTGCGCATGCAGCCTACCTCTACAGGTTGACTAAACAGCTCGGAATAACCATCCCAGAGTCAGAAGAGAGCATTGAACCCTGGATCTGACACTTATGTTTGGCAATTCATTTCATTTTGGGGAATTAATTTCTATCTCTGTTAAATATGGATAACATCGTTGGTTTCCATGGGTTTTAACATGTTGTATCTTATTATATTTTACTACATGTGATAGTATAAACACAATTTTTTATAGGCAAAGAGATAATATAAAAACTGTTGTTTGTTTTCTGTTAGCTGGTTCTAAATACCCTGTAATTCTTACATTCTCTTGAATGGCTTCACACTGTCTTAATATGTTTGATGCTATAGTATACGAAGTTATACTCAAATAATTCAAGGAAAGAGACATTATGGTGACTACCATTATGTCAGGTTATCTGGTTGTGAAACACAATGATACTTAAATTGTTTGGTTTTGACCTGTGTTGTTCTGTTACTATGTCCTTTTTTATCTCAATCTCCCATTTTTTAAAATTAATTTATTTTTTCTTATTTTTTAGTTAGGGAAAACTAAATTAAAAAACAGCGGGATATATTACAGTAACTTTTTTGTTTTCCTATTAACCTGATTTGAACCCCAGTATTGCTCTCCCCATCTTGTTCTGTCTGATTTTACTATATTCTGTTTTGTTTGATTGTATCAAGTTTGAGGGTATAGGCAACCACTTTGAAGGCAATAAGATCTACTATGATGCCCATTATGGTTTGACTATTTTCTTCTTTTGAGGTCCTGTAAGGTCTCCAGTGTAGGTTTTATTGGTCTTGTTCTGTACTGTTTTATTCAATTCTATTATACCTGGTGATACAGGCAACTCTTTTCAAGATAGCAAGAGGCATAAGGGTAATCATCTTTGATCACCTGGTATTCTATTTTTGCATCATATACTATGTCCATCCTTCTGTTCTAACTGACTGTTTTGTTTTGTCATATTTGGTTTTATTCTCTTCAAAAAAAGTAATAAGAACTATGGGAGAAATAAAACCCAAAAAGTATAATTGTTATTGTGAAAAAGAGAGGAAAAGAAAGTGGCCTAAGGATATTACTGCATGTATATTTAAGTGTATAGGATAGAAAACCATATTACTGAGCTTTTGTTGGATCATTGAACAGAACTGTCTGCAATCTCACTATGTGAATGTCCACTTTGTATGCTTTAATTTTGTAAGTTGGACAACTGTTTCTAAGACGACAATATGTAATCTATTAAGTAGTCATTTCTTACTGTATATTTTTTTTCTTGAAATTCTGTACTACTTGTACCCTTTTACTGCTTTGTTTTTTTTCCTCTTTAAATAAAAAAAAATAAAAAAGAAGTAAATAACATGGGGACCATTTTAGACTAATATACAAAAAAAAATGTGGATAACAATTATAAGTCAGGGGAAAGGGAGAAAGGATGGTATAGAAAGTTGTTGGTCAGAATGTATAGAGTTTCAGATAGTCAAAGGAGTACTTATGAGATCTATTGTGCAGCAGAATATCCATAGTCAACAGTAATAATGTAATGTCTATCTCAAAATAATCTAAAAGAGGTGTTGTCAAATGTCTCACCACAAAAAAAAAGAAGTGAGATAAGAATATTAATTAGCTTGGTATAATCATGGTATAATATATATCATGATTGGTATAATATATTTACCTATATCAGAATATCACATGGCATCCCATGCAATGTGCACAATAGTGATTTGCTAATTAAAAATCATAATAAGAGAAGATTTTAAAAATCAAATCATGTTTGTTAAATCACTTTGGAAATAGTAAATCACTATATAAATGTGAGTTTTTAGTAACTGTTTCCTACATATGAAAATCAGGATAATAATAATTTTAAATTAAAATAGTAACAAAAGTTAATGAAGGCAACAGGAAATATTTTTGACATAATGTATATCTAGAAAAGTTATTTCTTTTAGGCTACTTGTGAATTTAATTAATTTGCTGCTTTCAAAAGCCAGGTTGTTTTCCCTATCTTCTTTCCTATGCAATCATCTCTGTACCACCATCCTTCCAATAGCAAAATTTAATAACATTTTGACTGTGTCATATAATCATAGGGATTGTTTTGCTTATATAAATATAGTTGAAAGAGAAATAGTCTTTCTCTGGGTGACTGTCTTGCTGAAGTAGAAATTAACACCTCTTTATGGACATTTCCCTCCAACATTATTATATTTGGGGCAAAGTCATTTGCTGGGTGGTGCTTTGTTTACCACCATCAGCATGTTCCACTTATTTCTATCCTACACACAGTGAAAGTCCTAATGCAGACCCTGCTCGAATTGCACAAAATTGTGTCAAATACCTCTTAAGAGCAACCACACTACTTCATTTCTATGTTAAATGTCAGAGACTTGGAATTTGCCCTCATCCTGATGCTGAGGCTCCCTGGAGGAAAAAGTCACCCCCACTGTAGGTCGATGAATAAATAATGACCAAACCAACAGGGACACTTTAACAACTCACCGTGTCACACAGCTTAATAGCTCATAAGCATTTATTTAAGACAATGCTTCTATGTAATGGAACACAAAGTGTTACATTTATATTTTAAAAAATATTTTACATATATCGTTAAAATCTTCATTGTAGATTTAACATATCTGTAGACAAAAGGACCTAAAGTATAAAATAATTTGAATGTTTTCCCAGGGTCACTAGCAATGAGTTTTAGTTTTACATAGTTATTTTGCCAATATACATATACTTCCCAATGCTGGTTCCATTCATGTGTCTGTTTCAGAGCTTACCGACTACCTTTTTGTTTTTGCTTTGCCGTGTTGTTTTATCTCACAGTTCACCTTATCTTCCCCTTATTGTAAACCAGACCCTGAAAGTGTCCATCTCAATGTAGAAAGGTCAGTTAGTTTCTATTCATTGCTGGTTTCCCTGTTCCTGAATTGTTTAAACAAGTGATCCTCCCCCGCTGATGAATACCTGAATCACGAGATATAAACAATGAAAAGATTATTTTGTCCCTTGCAGAGCCAACTGCAGAATTTGTGGGTATAGTAGACAACTGTTCCGTTGCTGGATGAAATACCAAACATGTACAACATTAAGAGAGGAGAAGTTTAAACAAGCTCATGGTTTCAGGGTATTCAATTTATAGCTGGCTGACTTTACGACAAGAATATCATGGTGGGAAGACAAGGTGAAACAAAGATGTTTAGTTCCTGGTGACCAGAAAGCAGAGCAGAGGAGTAAGGCCAGAGAAGAAATGACTGGGGACCATATACAGGTCCCAGATTGACGCCTCCACGACACAGCAAGCCCAAGAAATGTACTTTACCTTTGGAGGCTCACAAGCCAGTCAAGACCAGTCCATCTTAATCATCACAGTGGCAGATATCTGCTCCTGTATTCTAAAAGAGTTCTTCAGTTGATGTTGATAAAGTTAGAAGTTACATTGACTGTGTTGGGCAGATAAAGTATGTCCATACTCTGGAGCTAAAAATCACTCCAGAACAACCGTTACCTTTCTAGCTAATGTTTTACACTGCCCTTCAACATACACGCATTGTCATTGTCATTGTAACTGAAGTAGACATAGGTCTAGTGTAACTATGACCCACTGTTTACTTGGCTCTCTTTCAGCTTTATGGGTATATTACCTCATATCTCCCAAACTAGATTATAAACCAAATGACTGGGAACTAAATTTCTGTTTCCTCAATATCCCAGAGTACAGCACAGAGCTGAGTGCACTATGAGGTCATGTCAATATTTGCTTGCTATTCCACCACGTCCCGTGGCACTTTGGTTGTTTTCTCCACCCCCCCGCCCACCTCCTCCTTCATCTTCTTTTTTCCAGTATTGACAACTGAACCTGGGGTCTTCACACTGATCTTCATCTCCAGCCCGTTTTAATGTTTTTTGTTTTGTTCTGTTTTTTTAAATTTTGAGATAAAGTCTTGCAAAATCACTAACTTGCCCAGGTTGGGCTTCAATTTGTGATCCTCATGCATCAGCCTCCTGGAACTCTGGGATTACAGGCATCATCTCCAGCTCTGCTTCCATTTCTTTAATTGATGCTGACTCACTCACTTCTGTTGGGAGCAAGTGTGCAAACTGCTGCAGCCTCGAGTGTTCAGCCAGGCTCAACCTGACTTGGCCATGGAACAGATCAACTCCTGTGATTCCTTCTGTTGGTTCTGGGTTCTTAGAGAATTATTTGTAAATTCATTTAATTATTCTGACATTTATTGAATCTCCAAGGGTCCGTGCTGGCTATTGAGGACAGAAGGGCTAATCTCAGGTCTGATCTATAATGTCACCTGCTGGTAGCTCCGAGTAAGAGTTACTTGCTCTAAGAAGTCAGGCCGGTAGGGCTGTGTTTGGATAGAAAGACATGTTCTCCAAACTCCAATGCTTAAGCTCATATCCTGTTTCTAAAATGCTCTAAATTCATGCCCTAAAATATAATTCCAATTTTTTTTGTGCAACGTGCATTGCTTTACACATTAATCTTGTTTCCTAGGCTAGTCCATGTGCTCCTCGAGGTGGAAAATGTTATTTGTGTTTTCTGCAGTACACTGAAGATCACTCAACATGTAATCAGTGTTGATTTATTGGTTTTTGTAAATAAGAAATAGAATGGTTCTGAAACTTGGCTGATAGTCCTGAAAGGTTCCACCTGCTGGTTACTTCTCTGTTTCTCACTTTATCAGCTGTGTTGCTGGACTCACCAGGTGTCCACTCTCTCTAGACTCCCCATTTTCATTCCTTGCTATGCCCTTCAGACATAGCCTGACCATGGCTTGACTGTCTGATGCTCCAGCTCTAGCTGGAGATGATGCTCCAGTTCTGACCTGTCAGAGAAAAATCACATCAAGTGGCAGATCGGGACCTGACAGATTCATGAGCTCCGTCCTCAGCTGGGCCCTCTTCTTTGCTCAGCTCACCCTTCTTGGATGCATCTCCTGTCTGTGCCTCTTCCTGTTTCCCAGGACAGCTCTCTCCTGTGCTTACTTACTGAGGTCTTTTTCTTTCTCTTCTTCCTCTCTTTGGGTGATGATATGCATGCAGAGAATACAGTGTTATACACACACTCCTTACTTCTCTGTCTCTCTTATCTACAAAAGTGCCATCCTGTTTCTCTGTCTTATTTGAAAGGAAATTGCTTTTCACATCTTTCCTTTCCTCCTGTTGAGGACTAATTCCTCCACCTCTGTCCTTGATCTGCTCCACTCTAGTCTTTCATAGGCTTGTACTCTATCAATTTCTGTCTTGACTCATTGACTCTTTCTCTCTACTGACTGTGTCCCTCTAGCATAAAAAAAGATACAGATATCTTGCACCCAAAAAATCAATCTCCAGTAATACCTTCACTTCTTTTCCTTTCTGTGGGCTGCTATGAATTTGACAGAGACAAGAAGATACATGTGAACATGTGAACCAGACTGGGCTGTGAGACAGACTTGGCATTTTCAGCCAGGATATACAGATTACCATCAGAAGAAAGGAAGAGGGTTCCCATAATATTCTCTCACTTATTTAATATGTACTTCTATCACTGACCTGGCACTACTGGGGCAGATTTTAAACAGCATAAGAATGCAGACCATTCATTTTATTTTTTTGGTACCGGTAATCGAATTCACGACCCCATGCTTGCAAGGCAGGAGTTTATGCTGCTGAGCTAAATCCCTGGCCCAAACCTTTCATTTTAATACTTATTGTTGATTGCATATTTAAATAACGACTTTTAGGTATATTAAGTTAAATGAAGTATATTGTTAAAATCAGTTTCACCTGCTTTTTCTTATTTCTTTCTGCTTTTGAGTAATTAAAACTTAATCTCAAACATGTAGCTCACATCTGTAACTTGCCTTCTCCTTCTACTGGACATCAGTAATTGTCTTAGTTACTTTTTACTGGTCGCTGAGACAAAATACCTGATGCCCAAGTTGGGAAAGGAAAGGTTTATTTCTTACAGTTTTTGGAGGTTTCAGTCCACAGTCAGTTGGCTCCAAGGCAAGCGGGCATGGCTGGGCCACAGTTCACGGCGGCTGCCAAACAGTAAAAACAGGAACTCTGAAAGAGCAAGACACACCTTCTTCCTGCCATTACATCATATCCTGGCTCCACCCCTTTGTGGGTGGAGCACTGACACCATCAATCCAAGCACTAGACAATGAACCAATCACAAATGCACAATGCAAACTCATGAGGCCTGGGGGACACAGACATAAACCATGACAATAATACAGGGTAGGAAAGATAAGTTGATAAGACCCTGGTCTGTTTGCATCAGTGTATACTTCTGTGGTTTGCAGGCATCTACACACAGGAATGTTGTACATAATCTGTTAAGATATATTAGTTTTGCTTGAAGTGCATTAAGAAAATCTGACCCAACACAGATAAGTAGTTAAGAGCAAAAAATGATTCTTTAAAATCATTGATACTACACCAAAACCCCTTTGTATCCTCTGGAGAGCCTAAGGGTAAAAATGGCACAAACTGTTAGTTAAATAAACCTTTTTTATTTTAACTTTGGGTTCAAGTATTTTGTCTCAGCAATGAGAGAATAGTAACTAAGACACACCGCAGAAACCAAGATGAACAAGGAGTAAACCCTGCCCTCACTCTTTCCTTTCAGCTCTCTGACGCATAGCCCTTGACTCATCCCATGTTATTCACTCTTCAGGGAAGTTCTATACTCTTTCCTAAAATGCAGACTGCTCTGCACGTTGGATTAAGGGCTTCTCCTTCTAGCTGCATCTGTCACACTTGACCCCTCTTACTATAATGTTTATCATACTTGAGTTACAGGTCAAATATCTGTTTTGCCTGGTAAGCAACTAGTTCAGACTAAATGTTGTGGGTTATTGCCTTTGCACAGGAAGTAAGTTACTGTAGAATATACAGAAGGGGGTGTTAGTGAAAATAAAGTAAACTAAGTCAGCTCAAGTTCTGTACATTAGAGACTAGGCAAAGGTTGGAGGTGGAAAGATGATCTACAGAAAAAATACACAAAAGGTCAGTTCATTTCCTACGCTCTTGAATAAAAAGTACTCAAATTGACTGCCCAGGTTGATCCCTGAAGCTGGGGAGAAAAATAAAAAAGAAATGAAAAAATATGCAAATCCAATTTAGGTCTCCAAGGAGTTTCGCAGCTCTTTGCACTGCCGAGAAACTCTCCAGTAGCCAAAAAATTCCACTCATGAGCAGCTGGCTCTGCTTAGAGCTCATGACGCAGGCAATGTTTGGTGATAATATTTCCTGGAATTATTGTGCTATCTGCAGTGTGTGTGGCTTAGGGACCTGTCTTATTCCCACAGTACAAAACCTGTGGCAGCGCAGCTTTGCTTTTGAATCAGAGTACAAGGCCAAACCCTCCCTGCTCCAATGCTTTGCCCCTTTGTTACTGAGGGGAGGCTGATTGTGCTCTGTTCCCATTATGATGAAATTATGCAATTTTTCCCTATTTGTTGGAATCATGCAATAAGAATATTAAAACCTTTACCTGCTGACAGCCAGATATCTTGCAGTATCTATGATACAAAGTTATTTTTTTTATTTCAACAAAAATGTTTTTGTTGAGGCATAATAGTTTTACATCTTTAGGATATTTCAATGCATGTATGTATACAATATGTAATAATCTAATCAGGGTATAAGCTTTCCATGTCTTCAAATGTTAATTACTTTATGTGTCAGCAATTGGATCGTCTTCTTGTCTTTTTGAAATATCCCAGAGAGTGTTTCAGGCAATAGTTCCCCTAGTGTGCTAAAGAAGATCCAGGAGAGATTCTTCCACCCCATTTTGGTGTCTTTCCCTCCTATTTTGTCAGTACTGGGGATTGCAAGTAGGATTTTTACATCCAGGGCTAAATTATATCCCTAGCCCTTTACTTTTGTTTTCTTATTTTTTAAATTTTGAGACAGAGTCTCACTAAATTGCTAAGTTGCTCGGGCTGCACTTATACATTGGATCCTCATGCCTCAGCCTCCCAGGATAGCAGGGTGTCTCTTCCAGAACTTTTCATCTCCCCTTTCCCTGTCTTTCTCAGTTCCCAGTGTCACCTATTCTGTTCACCAATTTGACTCACTGGTTTCCACAAATGAGCAGAATCTATGTGACCAGGTAATAAGATTACTCAGGATAAAAGGACTGTTGAGAGCACCAAATAGATTTTCAGATTTTCTAGGAATTTCCAGTACTCATGGCCATAAAGACACAGGCTGGTTGTCTTTGCTAGCTGTAGTGGTAGTGGCTTACCAACCCTCCAGGGATATGCAAACCACAGCCAGTATTTGCATAGTCTTCCAAGTGAGAATAACTTTTCAGTCTTCAAATGGCTCAAAAAATTTACATGGATTCAGTGAGCAAAATTAGATGGAAGTCACACTTTGGTGTCCCCTCAGAAGCTTTTTTGGAAACTACTCTGGCCCTTTGCTCAGTTGTATTCACAGCTATTTTCCTGCTACAACAGCAGAGCTGAAGAACTGAGATA